GATGACAAAGAGGGGAACTGGGTTTTCTAGGATTTAGGGAACAGCATTAGCCAAATGCAGAGAGAAGTGGAGAATACCTCCAGATGAGGTCAAGCTAAATTGTGGGGGACCACGACAGAATGAGTTTACACATAATGTAACAATTTGAACTGAGAAATAGTTTGATCAGAAGGAATTGGAGAAAGATCTCTGTCTGTTGGTGTCTTGTTGAGGATGTGTGGGTAGAGAAGTCATTTTGAGGCTGTTGCCATAATCCAATATGACACCCTAGTGAGGAGAATGTATCCCTAAAGTGGTAACTGAAGGAATAGAGGGAGAGGACTGGTTGAGAACATTCCTTTCAGAAATGGATTGTTAGAACTTTGAGACTGCTTGTAGGTGAAACAAAAGGAGACAGAAGATGGAAAGGGCATTTTTACTTTGAGGTCAAGAGCAAGGACTGTGGACTCAGCAGACCTGTGCTATGGACATTGTCATTACCGCTTATTATCAGTTGTACCTGATGTGGATGATAACCAACCTCATCATTACTGGGAGGAGTCCATGAAATAATCTTTGTGCAGGAACATAGTAAGTACACAAGGTCTTGGTTTGGGGTTAAGGTTTTTTGTTTTCTTTTCTTTTTTTTTTTCTTCTTTTCAGTAGAGTTAAGAAATGGAGAGCAGAGAGAAATACATGAAGAGGGCCCACCAGCAATGTGACCTTACACAGACGAAACACAGAGTGCCTCTGTTTCCCCATCTGTAAGACAGAGTGGGGGACAAGGTGATTCAAGGTCATTCATTCCCTACTAGAGCACTTATCAGACTAATAAGAGCTCTGTGACCATGAGCAAACTTTCCTTAACTAGGCTAATTCAAAAGGAATTTTAACACATTCAGTAAACTTTTTGTCACTTTTCTGGGGTTATTTTTTAATTCTTTTTTTTTAAAGCTATAAGAAGGTGAATAAGAGAACAGTAACTTAAAAAGCAATTTTTTTACCATCTCCCACACTAAACGTTTTTGGTTTGTCCAGTTGGGAAGCCTTGTGCATCCCAGTCCTAATTTATTTCACTAAATATCCCTTTCTGGAATTAGTCAAAATGACATAAATTCAATTCAGCAGAGCTGCCAAATTTTAACTACTCAAGTGGCATAGATTCAGTGTACAGCGACAGAAAACATTTTATTCTTTCATCTTATAGAATTTATTATCTAGATATTTTTTCTAGAGTCAGTGAGCTAATAAATGTAATAATAAGAAATAACATAGCCTTTAAGAAACACTGTGTTTGCTTCCAGCACAACAATACCCACTCTTCAGCCCCATAGCCCCTCGCATGGCACAAAAACGCATGCATATTGTTTCTGAAAATTTCTGTTGGTAGATCTTAGAATGTTCTAACCCTCTGCACGAAAGTTTTGTAGAAAATATGCCAATCCTCATATTGTAAACTCTAGTTAAATTCTGTTGGTATAATGTGCTTAGCTAAAATTGCCAACCTTTACTCTTTCTGTTCTGGAATTGATTTTTGCTACAGAGATTAAATCAATATAGAGCCAGTTATTAGATCCCAACGCCTCTTTGGATTTCTGGTATTGGTATGTAGGGAACTTTAGCTCTTTGGTATTTCTGGATGATGTAGTTTGTCAAGCTCCTTTCATTTTTTCAGCTACTTTGCCTCTCATGTCAGCTAAATATTTTTAAAATAGGCTTTTAACAAAAGAATTGACATCATTTGAGGGTTTTTTGGTAACAGTGGGGTCTCCTAGATTGAAAAGCATGGCAATAAATTGTCATCTCCTATATAACTTTATTTACTTAGACATCTAAAAACATCTGTCTGTGCGATTGCATGCAGGTCTGCTCTTTTTGTGGTTATGCTACGTCAACAGGAATAGTTAACAAATTTCCAAAGTTAATCAGTACCTTTCTTTTCTCTCCCACACGACACAGAGTTGAGGATGTTTAATGCTGATTACTTCCACCTCATTTATATACTGTAATGCCCACTGCTTTAGTTCTTGCCCTTCCCACCATCAATTAAGTATTATTATCATTTTATATTATACAAGCAAAGTTTTTTTGAATTTACAGGGCATTCGCTAATTTCCTTGTTTGCTATTCTTTCTTGTATCCCAGATCGTCCATGGGGGATCATGTAACTTCTCCCTGCTATCTATAGCTTAAAGCTTCCCTCAGTGAAGTCTGCCAGAAATGAATTCTCAGTTTCGGTAGCCTGAAAATGTCTATAATTTGCTCTCATCTTTGAAAGATATTTTTGTGGAATATAGAATTTTACACTGACAGATAACTTCTCTTGGCACATTGAAGGCACTGGTTTGTGGCACCCATTTTTGCCGTTGAGGAGTAGACCTTCTGTCTTATAACGACTGTTTCCTTGTAGGTGATTTGTCTTATTTTCTAGTGGCTTTTGAAGGTTTTTTGTTTCTGTTTTTTCCCCTTCCTTTGGTGTTTCCTGTGAGGTGTCTCTGACTGGGGTTTGTTTTTACTTACCCTGCTTGGGACTCTTTGACGTTCCAGGATCTGAGAATGTATATCTTTCAACATTTCTGAAAATTTCCCAGCCATTATCTATTCAAGTGTTAGTTCTTCCCTGTCTCTTTTATTTCCGTCTAGAATTCATATCCTCTCTTCTAAGGTTTTCAGTGTTGCTTCTGTTTTATATTCCTTTGTCTCTTAAGTCTGGTTTATTTCTCGGGGTCTATCGTTAGTGTGTCTAATCTGTAGCTTAATTCTTCTGGTGTGTTTTTCATTTAATTTATTGCATTTTAATTTCTAGAAGTTGTTTTTGATTCTTTTTCAAATGTAGTGGTCATTCCTTATAGTCTGTTGTTCCTCACTGATGCATTCAATAATCCCATTCATGTTTTAAATACAGTAAAGATAAATATTTTATATTCTCGAATATTTCAATATCTTTGAGGATCTTATTCTGCTACCTGTTATTCCTTTTGGCTCTCATTCATACTGCTCTATTTCCTTGTAAAATATGTTATTTTATTTATTTATGTTACTCTGAAATGTTTATTTTCCCATGGGAACTATCTGAGCTCAGGACTGAGAATGCATTCCTCCACAGGTGATTTGCATTTGCTTCTTCCTGCGATCTGGAACCACAGCCCAGCCAGAACCATTTCAAATTAAATACCCTGGGGGCGCATGGGTGGCTAAGTCAGCTAAGCGTCTGACTTTGGTTCGGGTCATGATCTCATGGTTTGTGGGTCTGAGCCCCGCATCGGGTTCTGTGCTGACAGCTCAGAGCCTGGAGCCTGCTTTGGATTCTGTGTCTCCCTCTCTTTCTCTGACCCTTTCCTGCTCACACTGCCTCTCTCTCTCTCAGAAATAAATAAAAAACATTTAACAAAAAACAAAACAAATTAAAAACCCTGGTGTTCAAGCCACACTGATACTGTCAATGTGGGTCAAAGTTAGTGTGAAAGAGGGCCTCCTTGATTTTTTAGTTTTTAATGTTTATTTTATTGTTGAGAGAAAGAGACAAGAGTGCAAGCAGGGGAGGGACAGAGAGAGAGGGAGACACAGAATCCAAAGCAGGCTCCAGGCTCTGAGCTGTCAGCACAGAGCCCAACGTGGGGCTCGAACTCATAAACCGTGAGATCATGACCTGAGCAAAAGTCAGATGCTTAACTGACTAAGCCTCCCAGGGGGCCTTGAGGGCCCCCTCGTTTGTAAATAATCAGGGGGGAATTCTTTCCCCATCCACTCAGAACGAAGGTAGAAGCAGGTACACTTCCTTCCTTCCTCTCTTTTTCTATACATCAGACTTACTTTTCTCTTCCTTACACTTGAGGGTGGAGCCCTTTGAAGTAGTACCCCAGCTTACAGGGGGTTCCCCATGAGGCTCATCCATCCTGCATGATGCCAGTAAAACAGGTGTCATCTTGTAGAGTTTGGGAGGAACTCTCAAGTCCAAAGCCTGCTTTGGTCGTTCCTTGTCTCTGAGGTCCCAGCTTCTACTCTGTTTTCGGAATCTTACTGTTTGCTCTTTAAGTGTCCACTCAGCAATGCATTTCAAAAGGCTTTCAAATATATTTTCACAGTATATCAGTTGTTTCCAGCTAAAGATGGAAGTCCTTATATAATTAAACTGAGATCTAAATGAGCATATCTATGATTATATAGATGTTTATCCTTGTGTGTATCTACAGCATTTCCTTTATATATATATACTTAGTATAACTTATTTCCATTTGCATCTGCTAACACCTTGAAATCTGATATACACTTTCATTTTTAAGATTATTCTACAAGAATGATTGGCATGCTTTTTGTCACTTGTCTTCTTTAAAACATAGAGATACTTCGTATGCAGTTTTTGTAAATTAAATAAATATAGCCAGTTCTTATCTCGTTTTAAAATTCTTAGTACTTTATGTAGAACCGCAGAATTTTTCAAAACCTCTCAAAGTGATAGGGTCGCAGAAACATCTATACTTACGGTATAACCAGGCAAAGCTGGGCTCGCACTGCATTTGAGAAAATCAATCAGTGTTAAAGTTTGTAATAATTCACAATTTCAAGAACACCTTTAAAAATGGCAAATCCCAGGGCGCTTGGGTGGCTCATCGGTTAAGCCTCGGATTTCGGCTCCGATCATGATCTCATGGGGTTCGTGGATTCGAGCCCCACGTCGGGCTCTGTGCTGACAGCTCAGAGCCTGGAGCCTGATTTCAGTTTCAGATTCTGTGTCTCCCTCTCTCTGTGACCTTCCCTAGCTCGCTCTCTCTCTCTCTCTCTCTCTCTCTATCCCAGAAATAAATAAAGCATTTTTTTAAAATTTAAAAAAAAATTTTTTTAATGGCGAATCCCTTCACCTAACAAAGACTCTTGTGGTAAACAGTTTGCCTCTTTTCAAAAACCGGATGTTTTAAGAGATGTTTTCTTCTCCTCCTACACATGTCCTTGTGATCAGGAAGGATAAGCCCCGGCAGCCAGCCCTGCCCTGTCTCCCTAATTGGTGGCCCTTCTTGTTCTAGTACGTTCGAGTATCCTTTGACACGAAACCTGATCTCCTTCTACACCTGATGACCAAGGAATGGCAGCTGGAGCTTCCCAAGCTTCTCATCTCTGTGCACGGAGGCCTGCAGAACTTTGAACTCCAGCCAAAGCTCAAGCAAGTCTTCGGGAAAGGTCTCATCAAAGCGGCCATGACGACCGGAGCCTGGATATTCACTGGAGGGGTTAACACAGGTAATGGGAAGTCAGACAGAGACAGGCAACCTAAGGCCATGAGAATGTGGCAACTAAGATCATTTTCTCCTAAGGCTAAAGATGTTTATATTCCGCCCCCCCCCTTCATCTCTCTTCCCTGTGCGTCCACATTCACTGGGTCTCCCTCCTCTCATGGATTCTTCTGCCCTCCATGAACCCACACGATAGCCATTCAGTTAGTTCTCAGCCACAAAGAATTGCTTACACATGAGAAACAGGTTGGGCTATTTAATACTTGACGCTACAGAATTTGTAAACATGACTAGTAGAATTTCACGAGATATTTTCAGTACCTCAAGTTGCCAACTGAGTATCCAGTGATTTTTTAAAGAACAACTTTTGCTCTAAATTTGGAAGCTCTGTGTCTGATCTTTATGTGATTTTAAGTTTGATGCAAATAGCTCTGAATTTTGTTAAATCCCTGTTTATCTGGGATGTAAATAGTGACATTGACATCTGGAGTATTATGTGTTTATTATTTAAAACAGTTTACTAAGGGATGCTTGGGTGGCTCTGTCAGTTAAGCATCCGTCTTTGGCTCGGGTCAGGATCTCACAGTTCCTGAGTTCAAGCCCTGTGTCAGACAATGAATGTGCTGACAGCTCAGAGCCTGGAGCCTGCTTGGGATTCTGTGTCTCGCATTCTTTCTGCCCTTCCCTCACTCACGCTCTGTCTCTCTAGCTCTCAAAAATAAATAAACATTAAAAAAGGTTTTTAATAATTTATTAAATCAACTCTGCACCAGTAGAAGACACATCACACTCTGAATTCCAAGCAATTTTTTTCTACCTGCCAAATGAATTTCTCTATATCGTGATACAGGTAGGCCGTCAAATCAGTGCTCCCACACCCACTTACAGTTGAGTGCTTACATGCAGCACATTATTAATGTGCAGCCGATAATGGAATAGATGCCCATAAATTGCTCTGACATATTTCTCCAGCCTGAGTCAGAAGCGCCCTTGGAAATACACAAGTAATACTATAGCAAGTTCACTCAGACTTGTTTCAAGGCCGCAAGTGTGTGGTCTGTGCAGTGTGCACACACGTGGAGTTGTGAAACAGTCGGAACACAACCCCAAACCAATGACTTTTAAATTAAGACCGTTATCTCAATATTATTTACTCATTTGTTCGCAGTTTAGGTGATATTTGAACCAGATCCGCACTCAGCATTCTCCTCAACACCTAGAATTTGTGAAGATTCAGCACTGCCCACGTAATGTTGCATTGCATTGTTACATGGAATCCTGACTTAGTCTGTAAACTGACATGATCTTAGAATGCTCCGTCAGCTCTTTGCTGTTTGTTTTGTAGTAATCAAAAATCTACAGAGCAATTAGCTTTGCGTGGCTGTTCAGGCTTTAGGCTCCTGCTTTCGTTCAGTTTAGCTGGCTTCATTCACTTGTGATTATGCACTGTTTTGCTTTCCTGGCATAATCTGCACCTTATATACAGACCCACTCAAAGGTTTCCAAAGGTTCCAAAGAAACTTGTAACAGCCTTCTGTTTCTGGGAACTCAGAACACTGTTTATGACTTTTCTTCCTCTATGAAGTGCACCCACTATCAAAAGAAGACGTTACAGCATGAATTCTGTAAACCGAAGAATTCATCTCTGCCTCGCTCCAGGCTAGTGTTCAATCCAATACCCAAAGCGATGTTCTAATGGTGGCATCTCAGATTAGGTAAGAGGTAATAGTAGAACTGTGGCTGAGGGAGGGCATACCAGGAAGTTAAACTTCTTGTCCCCGGATGGGCCCTGAAAGGAGTTTTGTGTGTAAATAGGGAAACAAAATGAACACTGATATTCACAGCTTGATTCTTGCATTTGTTTTTCTTTACCAGTACTCTCTTTTAGAAGATCCCTAGATAAACTAAGAAGTGAAATTGTATTCTAATCAACACTGCCAGCATATCGCAACATGGATTAGTGCCATTTACACAGTTTTAGTTTCTTTTCTTTTCTTTTTTTAAAGGAGGGCCTTTCTGTTTGATCTTCTGAATATTTCAGAATGGAGTGATTCACACAAATGTGTCCACTCAACGATTAAATTGCCTGGTGCATTTTGATAGTTCAGTGCAGTATTAGAACCCTTACTCTGTGCTAGCACGTGAGGCATACAAAGATGAAGTAAGATACTGACCGCCCCTCCACCCCTCTACCCCCCTGCCCAACCTTCCCCGCAAGGAGTTTTACCCTTAGAAAAGATGGCCTCATCTGTGATTGTGAATCTTGGAAGAATATATTAGGTAACATAGTGCATTGTTCAAGATATGCAAACTGCAATCCTGTTCAAAGGGAGAAAAAAATCAAATCCAATTCAGCTTTCATATACGAGATGGCACAAGGTGTGAATTTTTCCTTGAGGAATAGGTGGAATTTTGGTAAGTGGAAGTAACTTTTCTTAGAAAAGATATTTTATATCTTCTATAAAAAATGATTATTTGAGAGGGAGGTTAATAGATTAGAAATTACATCTTCTTTAAATGCAATTTATCTTTATTAACAGATAAGAGATAGGTTCCATCCCATTTTATAAACTGAATTCTTTCCTTTTAACTACGGTGGGGAAGGCCACCGTGATGTGGAAGTTCATTTATGACAGGATACAAAAACAATTTCAATGATGAAGCTAAAAAGCTGTATTTATATATTTTCAACATAAATCTTCCACAGACTATGCCAAGGTTTTCTTTAGAAGTAGAGTCCCCACTTTCTATATTGATAAATAAGAAGATGAAATCAAGGTTAACAAGATCTGAGCTAAGTAGCTACTCTATTTGAATGACCCTAACTAATACACAAACTCTGGTACAGACTTAATATAATATTACATGGGTGCTTTTTATAGGATATACTCATGGTACTGATCATTAGTCATACTAACATCCTTATGCTTATAGAACAAGAAAAAGACTCCCAGAGTTTAAAGAATTATATTTGATATTTTCTTTATTTATTTTTATTTTTGTCATTTTTTAATGTTTATTTTTGAGAGAGAGAGAGAGACATAGTGCAAGCAGAAGAGGGGCAGAGAGAGGAGACACAGAATCCAAAGCAGGCTCCAGGCTCTGAGCTGTCAGCACACAGCCCACTGCAGGGCTCAAACCCACAAACTGTGAGATCATGAGCTGAAGTCAGACACTTAACCAACTGAGCCATCTAGGCATCCCTCTTTTTTTTATTCTATTTTTAGACACTGGATGCTTTTTAATTTTGTTCTTAGGGAAAAAAAAGAATTTAAAGAGCAAGAAGAAATGCATTGCTAGAGTTCATATTATACATGTCCTGCAAATGTATCTGACATTAGAGCCGTGAATTTATGTTCTCTTCTGAGCACATGTAGTTTGGGTAATAATGTGTCAAAATTTTATATTCATTGCGTATAACCTTGTGAGCCACATTTATCACAGTTTCCTTTAGAACAATGGAGAGTCATTGCTTTAAAAGACAAGAGTAATACTTCCCTTTGTCCTCGTAGGTGTCATTCGCCACGTTGGGGACGCCCTGAAGGACCATGCATCTAAGTCTCGAGGGAAGATATGTACCATAGGCATCGCCCCCTGGGGAATTGTGGAAAATCAAGAGGACCTCATTGGAAGAGATGTAAGTCCTAGAGGCTGCCCCTGTCTGTGACTTCTCATAGAGGTGATAGCAAACAAGTAAAATAAAATAAGAATTCAAAATATGCATATTACAGTACTATCTTAGCTCCCACCTCCCAAAATGAAACTCATGTTAGGAATAGTTTACTGCAAGATCATGGATTTTCTAAAATCTATCTATGTGAACTCCAACATCAATTCTTATGATCGGAAAAGGTCCAGAGGTTTACTACCTAACCTCTTGGTTTGAATCAAACAAGGGTCTCTCCTCACCTGTCAAATCTTGCTAGCTCTATTGGTTAAGATGAAGTAACACCAGGTAATGTAGAGCATCATGAGTTCATTGACTGCAGTATTAAATGGGGACCCTCTCACCCCAAGTCTCCAGCTTCTTTATTATCTGAGTGCCCTTCAGCTCAGGAAAGCCACAGAGGAAGATTCTTTCCTTTCAGGCTGTGGCTTCCCTAGTTGGTCTTGCATTTGCTGAATGCTTGTACAAGGAGTGGGCACTGTGTCATTCTTGATTTTCCACTTGGAAACTACTCAGAAACCCATGACCAAACTCTGCAGGGTGCCTCCTCTCTTTCCTTTTCTTAGGTCCAGAGCCACACACCGACTGATCAGTCAAAGGGTTTGTCTTTGAGAGAACTTACCTTACTTTGTCTGAGTCATCATCTTTCTTCTGTTTCTTCTAGGGTCTTGTTTCTGTTTTGCTTTGCTTTGTTTACCACAAACAGATTATTCACAACCTCCTTAGAGGGCTTTCTCTCCTACTATCCCCCAGGCTTCCCCCCCATATATCACTTCTTAAAATTCCACTGATGGAATTGTGCTTAAACTATAATTGTCATACTTTATTCACTGCCTTTTTCCCTGATAACTTTTACAATTAATTACTGATCACTGAACCTCTACATCAGATCAGTACAGTCTTCTCTTCCCAATCTGGGCCTGCTACGGAATGTAACAAATGTGCTAAGTAGTTTTTTCCAAGTATCTGAACCAAAAAAAAAAAAAAAAAAATCCAAGAAGTTCAGAATTAACAGGTCCTAAATTGCTTCTTGAATTGTACAGAAATACACTGAAACAGTCTTATTAAAAATTTTTTAATGTTTTTATTAATTTTGAGAGAGAGAGAGAGAGACAGAGCATGAGTCGGGGAGAAGCAGAGAGAGAGAAAGACACAGAATCTGAGGTAGGCTTCAGGCTCTGAGCTGTCAGCACAGAGCTTGATGCGGGGCTCGAAACCATGAACTGTGAGATCATGACCTGGACTGAAGTCGGACACTTAACCAACTAAGCCACCCAGGCACCCCTGAAACCATCTTATTTTAATATAACACATTATAAGCAATTTTTTCTTCCAAATTTTTATTTAAATTCAAGTTAGTTAACATTGTGTAATATTGGTTTCAGGAGTAGAATTTAGTGATTCATCACTTATATACAACACCTAGTACTCATCACAAGTGCCCTCTTTCATGCCCATTACCCATTTAGGCCATTCCCTCTACCCAGCAACCCTCAGTTTTTTCTTTAGAGTTAAGAGCCTCTTAAGGTTTGCCTCCCTCTCTGTTTTTTTCTTATTTTATTTTTCTGTCCCATCCTCTTTATTTTGTATCTGTTTTGTTTCTTAAATTTCACATAAGAGTGAAATCAAACATAGGCAATTTTCAATGCAATGCAAAATACTTTGAATAAAAAGATCAAACATTATGAAATGCAGTAAACAAATACTCTTTAAGTCCTTCAGAACCTTTAAGTGATAAAGGGTGTCCATAGCAATGCTATGTGTCTAAATTACATGTAGAAACACTAATTTATTGAAAACATAGGGTGAGAAATGAGATCCTCATTTTATCAGTGTAATATTCTCTTAACTAAAATTTACTGGCTGTTTTACAACACACACACCTTGAGTATCTCAAGCAGCAATTTCCCAAGTGATAGGTAGGCAGAACTGATGAGAAAAACAAGCATTACTAATTTTTTTTCAGAGTATCTACAACTGGTCTTTGATGAAATATACTTGCGTGAATGCTTGCCTTAGATTCCAAGCTGGCTTTGAAGTTGATTGTGAGCTAGAGCAAATCTATTTCTTAGAGAGTTAGAATATGAATGCCCTTGATACCAAAGGTATTTAATAGTGCATTTGGTGAACAAAGGAATTAATTATTTAAAATGTGATGATTCAGAAGTCGTTTTTAAATGTCCATTGCTTCATAATCTCTTATTGTAAACCTGAGTTACTATTATTCAATTTTGGGGGAGGGGAAGGAAACCATTTTGGACCTTTCTTATTCAGATGAACTATGAATTAACAGAGCTGATTAGTTCTTTATTTAAGATAGAGTGACCAAATTATTACCTCTGTTGCCTAATCATTTAGCCACTGCCTTTTTGTGTCATTTTGGGTGTTTTGTAAATTCTGTATGAGTGCAGAAAGGTAGTACTTACGTTGCAGTTCCTTTCCTTTCTTGGCTGGAGAAATGACCCCTGATTCATCTTCCTCTAATTTGAGTTTCTTTCCTCTGATTTCACCTCTTCTTGTGCGCCTCCTTTGTACTTACTCTCTTTCTCCCAGTATTTCTTCCCAGTATTATGCCATAGGAACTTACGCAAGCCTAAGCCAGTGAGGGTGAGTTGCATTGTCTGACTTCCCAGTGAAAAAATAGTCTTGATCACACAGGTCAGAAGGAGCCACTCATGTTCAGTAAAATGTGCACATTCATTCTCCCTGCTCACAGGGGCCTAATAGAGGCACACCATGGCTCACAAAAATCCAAGTGAACCCTGCAGAGAGACCGTCAAGAAAAGAATTGACATTGACAGATTATAAAGAACACCAGAAAAACAGTGTATTTTAGTTTCTTACTAGATCTTTGACCAAAATCTATTGAATTTCAACCATTCTGGTACATTCCCACCCTCCCCCTTAAAACTGGGGAGTTGGAATATGCATAGGCTTTCTCAGGCTCTTGTACAGTAATAGAATTTGTTGTTCACATTGTAAATTACTTGGACCAGAAATGCCACTCTTAGTGTACCGGATTGATGACACAGTTTGAGGGAAATTTGTATATGTGTTTACTCTTCTAATGTTATGATTCAAAAGGAATATGGTGCCAGGTTGTCCTAAAAGGAAGTATTTGAATAAAATATTAGTTAGTGATCACTTGTGAAATGTCCCCACAAAATCCCCACAAAGTAGAAGTGTTGTCTGATAAACTTCTAAAGTAGTTATAAGAATTTCCGTAGCTTAGCTTATTTTAGTGCCTCTGAGTCTTTTCCTTCCCTCTTATCTAACAAAACTTATATGTAATAAACATCCAGAAAATAAACCTTTTAGTATCAGAAACCAGATATCAGAGGGAAAAAAACTAACATAGTATTAAAAATGTGTACCACTTCAGAATTCTATGAAAAATGCATTTACTAAAAAAAAAAAGATTTGTATTTTTGGTCTAGTCTATGTGTGGATTTCAGAATAAGGTTGAAGTGGCACAAAATAATTATCAAGGGAAATCTAGGAAACTTACATGAAATAAAAGTATGAAGATAAAAGAAAGGCTCTATTTCTTATGCCAAATATTTTATTACAGTAGATTTATTTCCAAAAGGATAGAAAATATAGATCTTTTTATTTCTGTGGGGCTGGTTCTCAGATGAGCACTTTCAGAAGCTGAACATTCACGTAGTTCTATAGTTATTCTATCGATAGAAGTGGTAGACACAGCAGTTACTATTCATCTCAGCATTGATTACATCTTTGGAATGGCACTATAAAGGCAAAGACTATTCCTAAACATAAAAAAGAAAGATTAACTTGCCCTTGGGTCTGCTTCTAGTTGTTCTGAAACATCTACCTCCCTCCACGTCTAATCTCTTAGCTAGATTTTAGGTTAGACTTTAAAGATACAGGGTATTAGCTTCAGATTCTCACAGCTCAACTTAAAGCCTCATATGTAGTGGGTGCTCAGACCATATTAATGAAGACAGATTGGGCATGATGAAATTCAGGCTACAAGGAAAATAAGCATTGTAGAAAAAAATACAGTAATAAATCTTACCTAGTTCACAGCCTTACCACAATTCCATCTCCGTATTATGTCCCCAGGCTTGATTATGCTTTAGTGACTATAATGAGAGCATTTTTTAACCATGCATCTAAATATAAAACTATTTTCTTATGTAGCAGTTAAGGTGGGAGGTGAATGGTAAAGCTTCTGCATGTTGGATATGGGAGCAGAGAAGAATGGAATGAGAATAAGCCTTTCTGTAACCCTTTAAGACATGCATGATCCACCCAACTGAGGAATGAACTAGCCTTGATTCTTTAAATTTAAATGTCTTCTACTATGTTTAACCAAACCTCCCATTAATAGATCAAAACAACAGAATTTGGTGAACAATAATGCTGTGAATATTGGAGATGGTAATAATTTTTAGTCTCCCATTAAATGTGAGAATGAATATTTTTCAGCTGTTAAGTTTTACTACTCTGTGACTTCTCCATATGATTCCTACTGCCCCATTCTTCTCTTACAACCCATAATCTACTCTTGAGTCAAACCAAGCTCAAGACTCCCCTCCACCAAGATGTCTTCCATGACTAACTTCACCCATAATGTCATATCAATGATTATAATTCTCCTACAGCTCTCCTTTTCCCCAATTTTGGTAAAAGTTCCTCAAAAATAGAGATTGAATTGTTTTCTTTGTTTCTTGTCAACCACTAATAAGATATTTGGTGTGAATGTGAGGCATTGACATGTGACTTAAACTCTGTAAGAGTTGATTTCTTCATGTCAAAGTGGAATCTAAAAATACTCGCTCTATATTTATACAATTTGTGTTAGCATAATCGTAATAGTAGTCTTTACAATTTATTGGGCTCCTGTTTGAACTCTCTGTGATTGCTTAGGTTAGCCTTATGAGGTATGTATCATTATGTAAGAAAACTAAGAGTTAGAACCAAGATCCACTGTCTCCAAAGCCCAT